GTACTTGTTAAGACTCAAACTTTATGAACTTGCATTATACACAAGATTATATTAAAATAATTTGCAATACTTTTGTAGATTTTTTGTAATATGGTTGAAGCATGACGCACATGAAAAAAACATTAATGTTATGAACACAAAACCCTATCAGATAACTCCTATGGAAATTTAAATATTCACTTAACAAAAACGAATCCACTCCGTGATTAAAGTTATTTATGTAAAAACAATTAAGCTAATGTGAAGGAGCAAATTTCTAGACTATTTCAATATTTAAAATACAATCATTTAATTACTTAACTGATTCAATATTTAATTTCTTAAAGTACTACAGGAAGTACAAATAAGTCTCCACCATTTTTTTAACAAAAATTGGGCATTTATTGCGAAAGAATGGAACATTATGTTTCATTCAAAATATTGTCCACCGATAGCCACTAAATTTTCCCATCATTCTGACAGTATAGGAATGGCACATCGGAAGAACACTTCATCTTTTGAGGCTATCTATAAATCAAACAAATTTTTGCTATCTTCATATGCAGTGCTGTTCAGAGAGACTATGCGTCATCAATTGAAACAAATAGTAATCAAAAAGAGCTATGTCTGGTGAATGCAGTGGGAGAGTCAAAACTTTTCATTTGAGTATTCCCAAGTAGGTTTTGACCAATGCCGCAACATGCGCATGAGCATTATTATGCAGGAGAATAATTTTGTTATGTCTCTTGAGTGCTTAGCTCAATCTCATCAATTTTGTTTGGTAGAAAGTTCCAGTAATGGTTTCATTTAGTTTGAGAAACTCATAATGCATGACACCAAGTTGATCCCACCTTATACACAATATGATTTTTTCCCATAACTATTGATCTTAGCTGTTAATTTTGAAGCATAGCCAGGTGGTCCCCATGATTTCTTCTCCCTTGGGTTATCACAGTGAATCTGTTTATCATCACCAGTGACTATATGATGCAAAATCCCCTTTCATTTATGCCTGGCGAGCAGCATAAAAAATAAGTGTTCTCAAAATAAAGCATAAAAATTGGTGTCAGTTTATATGGAACAGAATTTCCTTGCTTTGGAATCATTCCTAATGACTTGATGTGAATGTGATTAAAATGATGTGAAATTGTTTGTTGAGTCACACCTAATGTAAGTGCAAAATCTAACTGTGTTGGTATTGAATCTTCATCAAATAATGCTTCCAATTCTGCATCTTCATACAGAATCATCCTTCTACTACATTCTTTGTCTTCGATGTCAAATTCACTGTTCTTAAACTTTTGAAACCACTCATGACAACTTCTCTCACTTAAGGCAGCCTCACCATATGGTTCTACAAGCAACTGATGTACCTCAGCTGCAGATATCTTCAAATTAAAGAAATAAATCAAAAGTTCTCACAAATGATGCTCATTTGGCTCAAAACTAGAACATTTTCATATGAAATAAATATATGATACTGATACAAATTTGCTAATATTTCAAGGTTATGTTGTTAGCAGTTGTCCAACCTTACAATATGAGATTTTACACCAGATAATTTTCATTATAACTTACTTATAGCATCACTTTTTTATCAAAAGGCAGATTTATACTCACAGTAATACGAAAATATATTATTTTATGGTTTACATGGTAATGCAATAGCATTCAGTTTCAATTCAGCATTCAATCTATCACACAAGTATGAGAAAATAAATGCACAGAAAACAAATCCTCCAGTAATTAAGACAACATTCAAAGCAGAAATTATAAAAATGTTTGATTACACGAAAGTACAATGAATTATAATGATTGCATATCATAGTACAATGAATTATAATGATTGCATATCATAAGTACTATTATAGCATAATTTTATTATGCACTGATCATTTGTAACATGAGCATTTATCTTAACCATGCAATAATTGAAATTTGACTTCAAAATTTAGTTTTCAAAGAGAATTCTGGATATTGTAACTAACATTTCAAACAAGGCAGATACATTTTTTTTCACTCATGCATTCTTGTCTGATTATTTAATTGTTCTTTTAACTCAGAATTAACCGATGATGCCAATTATAAAAATGACTTTCATCTTCTCTTAAAAAATTCTGTAGCAGCTATTTTCAAAATCCTATATATCACTCATTACATACATATACTTGCCAACACTACTACACTCAAAAATCAAAAGATTTTTTTTAAAAGAAATCAGCAGAATTTTCGCAATGACAACAAGATCTTTTAAATGATAAAAATATATACAAAAGAAATGCACTTCTTAATATTCAATTAACTAACTATTTAGTTGCTGAAAGTTCAGTTACTAATTCTTAAATGGAACTAATACAAAAATACTTACATGTAAAAAAAAAAAACAATTTTATTACTTGTACGTTTTATTTTCATTAAAAAAGAAACTCTTTGGTATTTGTCTGCTTTTGCTAATAAAAGTTTTTGTAATGTGTCATTACTATACTAATATTGGATCCAAATTTAGTCCTTGTTTCAGTAACAATACTGAAAAATTCTCTCACACTCTGCATTATTATAGGGAATTGCCAGGATGTTCAACATTATTCTAGATAGTTCACTGTAATTAAAATTCCATCAGCGCCCTTCAATTTTCTAATTAAAATTCCACTAGATGTTGATTACTGCTGCTTTTATAAATTTTTCTACGTTTATATGAATAGGTATTTTACAACCTCCTTTAGATTGTGTGAAATCTAAAATTCGCAATGACAAATGGGATTATGTTCCCTTGATGAAATAACAGAAGTCATCTGTGTATAGTTTTTGAAAAGTACATGAGTATTTCATTTTTTCACAGACTCAACTAAGACAAAAGATTCCAATTTCTTAAACTCTTTCTCAATGCTAGGCAGCGAAATGAGTAAAATAACAACCTTGACCCACAGCGACACTTGATGCTCATTGGAGAACAGGAACACAATGCTTTCAGACATCTATAAGACACTCATTCTTATAGAGAGACATTATGGCGTGATCATAATGTCTCTCTATAAGAATGCCATAATGGCTTTTATATGTAACCTCGAGAAAAACCAAGCATTTTCAGATAACAAAAATCACATGTTTGGATGCAAATAATGAAGTATTAAGCAAAGCTCCATAAACATTGGAGAAATTTTAAAAATAAGAGAAAATCCAGGGAAATATGTTGTAAATAAGGTTGGCGGGAGAACAGTTGGGAATCAGGAATCTCACGTCTAAATCGGGAGAGTTGGCAACTCTGCATGCAGCATAAGGTAACTTTGTCACCAAAAGCCAGTTTTTGTCATTATTCCTGTTCCTTTAAAATTTTAAATTAGAAGTTATGAAAAAGTAAATGTTATTCTTCCACATGGACCAAAATAGAAGATAAAAATGCAGTTCCTTACTTTGCCCATAGCATTCATCAATTAATAATATAGAAGCTCATATGAAACACTAGCTTACAGATCAATACGTACACTGCACAAAAAAAAAAAAACAAAAAAAAAAAAATAAATAAAAAAATTTAAAAAGGGACGTTTTATATCTCTCTTTCTATCAGCCGATTGACGATTTCCATATTTCAATCCACAACTCAAATTATACAAACTACTACAAGTTTTGTAAAACACAAGTAGTTTTTTAAAAAATAGCCTCAAATTTGTAGTCTGTCAATGTTCATTCATTTGGTATGTATTCATTAATACTCTCTTTTTTTATTAAACTTATTGATTCTTCTTACACAGTCTAATTTATTTCATCCAACGAAATTCACCCATTTTTTTAGATTTATTTTTAAATATTTTTTTTTTTTTTTCGTTTCGCAAATATTTAGAATTATAATTAGACATTTTTTCAATCATCCTTAAAGTCCTGTTTTTTAAAGCATACCTGCAAAAATTAGAGTTTACTCAAAATTTCCTAACATATACGTGAATTTACATTTGGGCGCTATTTGAAATTTCCGTATTGTTATAAGCAATAAGAAATGTGGTTTGAACTTGTAAAATTAATTTGAAATAAGACAATGTGCTTTTCAGCTCATCTACAATGTAAAAAGATAGGAAAGAGGTGCCTTTTTTTCCGTTCCGGCATAATGGAAGGGTAAGAACAATAGTTTGCCATATAGTATTAAGAAGTTCGCCAAGTAAATTATTCTTGGCAAAAACTGAAAAAATTGTGTCCGGATATATTTTTGAATTTCTCCATAAATTTTGCACCAAATTTTACAAAATTTAATAGCTAAGCATAATTTGAGTTGTAAAATCGAAATATGGAAAAAAATTGGTATGTTATTTCAGAAAATGTCCGATTTTGTATGTAAATACCTATTTTTTAGAACAATGCTATATATAAATCTAATATACATCCAAAGTTGTGCTTTCGAGAGGAGCAATTTGAGTTTTGTCAATCGGCCCAGTAGAATGAGAGTTATAGAACTGTCCTCCCCCTTTTTTTTTCGTTCCTTTTGCACAGTGTACATATGTATATTCATGCATACATTAACACAGACCTCCATTTATACATACATATATTTCTGCCATCAAAATCATTAGTGTTGTGAACAAAATCTTAGCAAGTTATATTAAAATTTCTTGTATTTTCCCATCCTTAAAATTTATGTCATGTGAACTCCCATTAAATATTTGTTTCCTTTTTTTTCCACTATAGTTTGATTTAATAAGGAGATCCACTATTTTTGTTAACAGATCTTTCTCTCTTCAAAGAAAGCAAAGCAAAACTTTTTTTTTTTTTTTGAAGATCCTGCAACAATTTTTTAATTTGTTATTTTAGAATGTTGTACCAATTTTTAATACAGAGTTGTTAGAATAATTTATATAAAATAACAGAAAAATTAAATATGATGCAAATTGTCTCTTATTTGCTGAGCAATTAAAAAAAAACTTCTAAAATCACTATCATCACTGTTCCACTATTTTACAATTGATCTAATGTAACAAATATGATAAATGAATTTCCACATATCTTAGATATTTTTTAGTCCATTTTTAAAGCAATGCAGTTTATAAATATATTTATTTCAAACAAAATAACCAAAAATAAAAATAGGTTTTTAAATATCAAGTGATAATTTAATGTACAAAAAAGACCTAATTATTTTGAAGCTATAATTCTGAATGAACATGAGCTATAGATGGATGTGGAGGATCAGATGGTTTTACAAAAACACCTTCTGCTGCTTTCCAGTAGCAAGTACTGTCAGAATATGAAATAGCACAGACTTCTTTTTGTCCTGAAATAGGCCTTCCGTAAGAATGTCCAGATATGGCCATCCACCTGGATAATATACATAAAAAGAATGCTTTATGTATTTCTAAATCATATTTTATATGAAATAAAACAAAACCTATCATTTCAACTACATCTAAAGACCTAAAAATTTAGACCTATAAATTCAAAACATCATTTGTTAAAAGGCATAAATCTCCATGCAAGATCAAAATTGTCTGGACTTGTAGAAGTCGTCTTAAGCAAAATCTGCTCAATATAAAATTATGCTAAAATACTTGAAAACTTTAGGCGTCACCAGCGGCCAATTAAAACTACTAAATTATAGGAATTTGATCCAAGGCGAACAGGCTGGCTGTATGGTTGATTTTCATGGTTTTCCCCATAATTTAATATGACTACAAGCCCATTTTCCTTGGAAAAACTACAAGGCTATCCCTTCCCTTAAGCAGATAACTTCTATGAGCTTTGCCATATTCAATTACCCTAACTTCAGAATTATTTCCAATAACAAGAAATATTACTTGAGTTAATTTTTAATTATAAATATATATATTACTGGACAATTGCTAAGGATGGATCTCAAATTTAAGTAGCATAATGAAGCATAACATTAAGCAGAGATGAAGGCTAAACAGGATAAAATATTATTTCCCTACTGTTTGAACATTAAAAACAATAGTATACCAACAGCAGCAGGCACCTTCGAGAAAGGTGTCCATACAGGATTTGTTGTGTCACACTTTGCATATATCCAGCAGCTGCTGTGATTCAATGAAATTTAAAACATATGTAGTCTCATAAAATTAGTAACATAGCAACCTTGAATTGGGCATAGATTTAATCTACACTATAAATCTACACCAAACTCGAGGTTGTTGTGTTACTAATTTTATGTTTCACTTGGCATGTTTCTCTTCTCCTTTCATATATAGCCTCATCAAGAATGCCTTTCATTTCATTACGAGGGCCTACGAACATAGCAGTCACTATGGGACACTTCTTCAAATTGGCTGTGTAGACTACAACTACATGTATGATAGTGAATATGGACATACTCTTGAAAACAGCAAATCTAAAGCTATTCTGGCATTAAAATATGATAAATATAGTACATAAAAAGAGGCTGAAAAAGAGGGATTTTCATTTAATAAATCCAAAACTTCAGTGCTAACACTTTTTGCAGCATTAATAACTCAATTGCACAATTATGAGAAAATTACATAAGAATTCAATTTAAGAAAATCCTTACTGTTGGGGATTTTATAAACAGTGTATTTATTTTCCCTCTTATTTAAAACAGTAAAAATTACTTCAGTGGATGCAAAATATTTCAACATCAAATCCCTCAATACACTTTTATCAAGAAAATATTCTTTACCTTCTCAAAAAGTTTCATTTCTCCACCATGTTTTTCTCTTGCATAGACTTTTTCTATATTAAATTATATATTAAAAAAATAGTTTTATATTCAATAAATCTGTAGTTAGTTTGTAGAGACATTAGGAGTTTTCTGGAAGCAGGAGATGTGAAAAATGAGCAATGCCCTCACCGGGACTCGAACCACGGACCTCTCAAATACGCGTCGAGCGTGCTGACCACTACACCAGAAAGGCATGCTAAGAAGGTGGAAGATATACCTTATATACTCCCCCTTTTAAAGGGCAACTGAGGATTAGGGAACCAAATTGCCAAATCCTGGTGTGGAGAATTACTATCCACCACCTTCTTAGTTTGAGCATCAGTGTAGAGCTAGTATGTTATTTTGAAGCAGGAGAGATAAAAAATTAGCAATGCCCTCGCCGGGACTTGAACCACAGACCTCTTGAATACGCATTGAGCATGCTGACCACACCACTATGAAGGCACGCTAAGAAGGCGGGAGAAATACTTTATAAGTTATTTATGTGCAAGCAATAATAAAATATATTTTATGTGCAAGCAATAATAAAATATATATGAATATAAAAGTTAGATTAGAAAAAAATCTAAGCAAAACTCAGAGAGACATGACCAATCTGCAAAATTCACTAATCCATATAACCCTTGGTCCCCAAAGTGTGTAAATTATTACAACTGTACACCAGAAAATTATGTCATGCAATACAGTAGAAATAGGATGATAAAGAAGACTTAATAAAATGCTATTGATAATTTTCCATTCCAAAGAACAGAATAAAAGGTGAACAATAAAAGCCATATGCTATGTGTCTTAGAGTCACTTCTTTAAAATTACTCGATCTCAGAAAATAAACTCCTTGATTTTAAGTATGAAAATTCTAGAAGTATTAACAAAAATAGTAAATAGTTTATACTTGTCAAATTAACTTCAAAACTCTTAGAAAAGAAGATAAAGAACAGCTGTCATATTTAGACAGAGTTGGCAAAAAATTTCCTGCCAAACATTTTTGGCAAAAGAAATGAAAACGAATTTACAAAATGAAAGCAATGCAAAAATTAAAATAACTCTATACATAATTAAAACAATAAAAAAGCAAATTCACTTACCATTCAAACTAGTTCTCAAAAAAGCAAAATATTAATTTCAAACAAAAACTTGTAAGGACAGACATATCACATATATAATCCAATATAATTTCATTAATAAAACTTTGCCAACCACACAAAGCATGTGAACCAAAATGCCATGATTAGCTATATCAGATGTCCTATGATTCAACATTTCAAACATTACAATACCCTCCAAAGTCAACTTATTGCAGGAAAACCAGGATCCAAACCTCAAACTTGGTTAAGAACCACTTTCTTTACCTTCAACAATTTTTCTGTAAATCCACAAAAATCCATCAGAAACACAATTTTTCTTCTGAATCTTCATATCAGAGCCGCAGTTCTCACATGTCAAGTTGGGCTTCAAAAATCCTTTACTCCATAAAAACTGCAAAAGTACACTTCTGTCAGCATGAACAAATGAACATGAACAAATGCTTCATTAATAACTCCAACAACGTATCTTCTCGAACTAAATCTAGCTTGAATATGCTCTAAAACATGTAGCTATTACATCTCCACAACTTTCTTCATGGAACTATATGCCATTATTCAACATATAAACAAGCAATCACGATAAAATACAACCACATTTTCCCCAAACCTGTCCATGTAAAAAAAAGAGTTGCCATACAAACAAAATCTGACCAAAATCTTAACTAAACCATCCAACACAAAATATCGCCACATTTGCGACCATATGTACCCCAAGCCATATATGACATTTTAATCAAAGATCTTTTAACAAAAACATAACACCTACTAAAAAAACTCATCTATCAGAGAATAATTTTTAAAGTTACTGCTTATAAAATGCAAACGGAATAATAACCAAACTGAGACAAAATTTACATTTTTGACAAACACCATACAAAGTATACACAAAATCATTAAGAAGGGGGAAACCAAATCCACTTCTTATAAGGAAAATTTCAAAAAAAGTGTAACAAGGTTTTTCATTTTTTTTTTTTTTTTTTTTACTCACATTATCGATAATAATTACAACCAAGGAACAATTAACAAAAGGTATAAATTGCATACAGATGAAAATCATTGTTTTCTGACTAATACTTTACCCAATTAACATAAATAGTTACAATCAGTAGAAATATAAAGCTGTACAAATACATTTTGCATTTCAGAAAATAATAATCAACACATATTCTGAGATACATAATAACATGCACAATTTCCCCAAAACATAAATAAGTTTATATTAATCATTTCTTTAATAATACTGCATTTACATCCTTTAAATGAAATGTTCAACATATACCAAAAGGAGACAGAATATAAAAGATAAAGTTTGTGCTAACTACAACTGCTGAAGTAGGGTGGGGGTGGGATATTTATTATTTTTCTAAACTTGTTCTTTATATCTCTTTCATTCGAAGCAGAAATTAGCATACTTGTAATTGTTTGTCTAAAGCCAAGTATCATTTAGATGTGTTTTGAAATGTATTCAACATATTCAGACTAAAACAAATTACACAAAATTTGCAGCGACAGTTATTTGCATCTGTAATAAATGCAAATGAACAAAATTTCATGCTTCCTTCACTCTCACTTCAATAAAATTTCATGATGTCCACTTGCTCTTGTACAATTTAATTGTTCAAAGAAGGTACAGAAACTTCAGTTATATGTTACTTAGATATCAGTGTAAGACACAACTGAGAATTGTTAATGCTACAAATAGATTTGACACGGATAGTCAGTAATAATTAGTGTTTACATTTCCTAAACAATGTTATGCAATAAATATTTAAAAACATTTCTTACATATCAGTGTCTGCATGTTTCAAACGTATTGTTCCTGAGCGTTCCCAATTATCAGAACTACAAACAACAATCCAGTGGTCACCTGTAAAAAGCAATATAACATATAATAAACATAAATTTTAAAATATATATGTTAATAACAAAATGAGAATCATTAAACAAATGATAAAAATTTTGCAATAACTCCTCTCAATTTATACTTTAGAGAGGAGATCATTAAAAAGAAAGTGGAAAAATACAGTGATAGAAAAGATTAATTATTAGAGAAATGGAAAAAAATTTAAACATTATATATTTTGAATAAATGCATCTTACAGATAGATTATCATAAGTTATCTAACTACTGTTGCAAAACTATGTTGTGTGTTTATTAGATGTATAATTACCTAGATTACAGGGAAAGCCAATAAATAGGTAAAAACTGCTGCAGGATTACAAGACAGCCATTAATAGTTTAACAAAGTACCATCAGATAGCAGCATAATCATATTTCAATATTGATTCAATAAACATTGCTACTGAGCATGAAGTCCTGTTAAGGCAGTGTGAAAATGGCAATTGTACTGTTTCGAAGTGTGCACATAGATAAGTAATTTAAATGCAAATATACTTGAAATTGCGTTTTTTTGTGTAATGTAACATAAAATTGAGACAGAGAAGCTCTGTCGAAAAAGTAAGAATACAGAGGCAAGTCTGTTTAATATTGAGTAAATGAGTATCTCAGTAATTTGGCAAGATATCACCAAGCTGGGAATGGTTTTGGCAACTAATTTTCGTTGCCAAATTTGGCAAAAATTGCCAAAGGTTGCCAAACTTGGGAACCACTTGGTGACATTTTGTCCAGACTCTGAATCACCATAATAGGTATTGTAATAGAATAAATATAATTGACCGCTATATTAGCTGTAACCTTAACTCAGCCCTCATACTGCCTTCCAGTAATTTCGAGAAATAGAAAGTATTGGAAATATCTCAGCGGCCAGGTGAAAACTATATAAGGCTGGTGAGAGCATCTGCTCTTAGTTAGTTAGCTTCGCTATTAACGAGTTCAATGAATTCATCTGCAAATAGTTCAGTAGCTGAAGCATTTTCACCTGAAATTTTTTCTTGCCTTATAGTGTGGTAATTTTTTAATTTGGTTAACCAACCTGTCAAATATGTGCACTCAGTTTTTAAGATAATTTCTTCATAAAATACTGTGGTTTGAGCCATTAGCATTGAACCCGTTAATGGCACGACCTCGCTGCAACGCTGCCTGATACATTCAATCATCACTTTTAGCATAACGAATAATTTTTCTGTTATTCATTGCGAGTGGGGTATCTTACAATCCCCTAAAAATTCAAAAAGATTCTTTTTCTTATGTCACATATAATGAGTTTCCAATGCCATATTCCTCGCATAATTCTGAGACAGATATACCTTTATTTTCTATTTGCAGCAATCCCACTTTTTGTTTAATGGACATCGAAACACCTTTCACTTTGTAGATTCTGTTGCAGCTTCAGAATTAGAAACTCTTTTCAACATAATCAAAAGTTCAAACATTAATTTTCATAAAATTGCTGCAATAATAATAGCCTGCAAAAATAATAAGCTGGATCAAATCAGAACGTTAAGGAACAGAGCAATCTGCTATATTAACTGAAATTCCTTGGAATCAGTAAAGTATAATTTTAACCTAGCTTAATAGTGCCCACTGTGTACATTATTGGCTATGTATCATGAGACTAGCAAAGAAAGACAAGTTGTTCTACTGAATGTCTTGCTTCTATCGAGCACTTGAGACAAATAAGCCTGAATTGTATTAGTTTAGTTATTTATTATACTTATGTCTATTTCTTGCACATGCTTGAGGTTTATCCGAGTCCTGAATAAATTCCCACATATACTTAAAAGACTTATCGAGGGCCAGAGCTAGCTATCTTACCATTTCATGCAGTCTCTGCGAGTCCTAAATTCTGCTACCAAGCGCCTCTCTAAGATCTAAAATGTTGCCGCCCCTAAATTTTGGGTTCCAACGTTTTCACTAAACTCTAAAAAATTTGTCATCCCTTAATTTTGTTGCTCGGTGCTTCTCTAAATTCCCAAAATTTTGTCTACCATAAATTGACGAAGAGACATATCCCCTGACCTGAAATTCTGGAACCACTGCTTAGCGGTTCGTTCGTTAAGAGCATCATTCCCAAAGGCTTAGCAAATTCACCAACTCAATTCTGCTGCTAACAGGCCCAATTTAAAATCATACAGCAAACACCTTTAACGAGCATCTTTGATCCGTCCATTTCAATCAGTCGCTGTGCGAGTTATAATTGAAGTACTGATGCAGTGCGCTTTTATACTCTTGGTCAATGTCCGAACTCCCATCCTAACCACTTCATCGCCAGGTTTGGCAACCACTTTACGTTGGGGTCCACTCTTCCAATGTCATATCAGAAATGGCAATAGCGATCACATTTCAGTGAAGCCTTGGTAGTGGCTTTGTGTTGCCATCTATTAACGGTGGTAAAAAATGCTTCATCGCATGACCGAAACTCGAACCTGCGGCAGTTATTTATGAGTAGAATTCTTTACCACTAGCCCACAAGAACTCTGTTGGGCTAGTTTCAAGAATTCAAATTCTTTCAAATTTGTGAGTGTTGAGATGTTCTCCAGATCCCTACACACTCCCCACCCAAGCATCTATGATGAGATATCAGGAGAACCCTGTTTTTGTTGGCTGTATGTTACTATTAGATTCTGGGGTGAAGCATGTGACATGGTTCATCATTGTGTCCTCAGTGGAGGGAGGAGTCTGTAGTTCTCTAAGTCACCAATGTAGCTATCACACATTTCGGTGCTCCTGTCACCATCTATTAACACCGTTAAGAAGTGCTGCATCACATGACCAGGACCTGAACATGGGTCAGTTACTTATGAGTAGAATGCTTCACCACTAGCCCAAAACAGCTCTGTTACATCATCAGTTTCAAGAATTCCGACTCTTTCAAATTTACAAACATTGAGATGTTCTCGAGATCGCTACACCTTGTATTATGGGGTAAAAAAAAATCAAAAGTGCATATATATATATAAAAAAAAAGGAGGTTGCTGGTGGCTTTAAGGTCTGGATTTCAGATCATTTCAGATATTAAATGTCTGGATCTTTTTTACTGTATTTTTTTTATTTAAGTTTAAAATATTTACATGAGTTTTCTACCCAAATTATTTCTTGCTATTAAACTAATACAATAAAACTACTTAAAAGCTACTAATAAATGGAACTGATTTATAGATATTTCACTTTATATGATCAGATCAATATTACAAAGTAAATGAAATGTAATAAATAAATAAAAAAATAATATTGCACTTTTATTAGGTGAGTAATTTCATAACTTCAAAATAAAATATATTACCAGTATCTCCTTCTCCATTTTCTCCAAATGCACTCACTTCTTGGTTGCTTGATAAAGGCGATGGAAAATGATGGCTATGTAAATTCTTATGAGTGGCTAGATGTTCCAGCCTGATAGTAGACCCACAAGCAATGGGTTCACTGAAAAATTATAATGAATATAGATAAAAGCTTATGTGCTTGAAAACTACAAAAGTATTAACACAGATTTATAATAGATCTACAAGTAGGATTAGAGAAAGAGAAGACAGAAGAAAAATCAGGTCATCTAGAATAATTGCAGCATCTAATGATTATAAAAACCATTATGCATAATGTTTCAAATTTTGGTATGAAGTAAACACCTTTAGATATCCACATGGTAAAATTTTTACTTCAGTATAAATACACAGTTTCAGTACTGCATGATTTGTTATGTTCAAGAATAAGATAGCAAGAAATAAATAATAAATGGATGCACCCAAAAATGATGTCAATCAAATAAAAGTACATATCTATGCCCAAAAGCGGAAAAAAAAAAAAAAAAAAAAAAAAAAAAAAAAAAAAAAAAAACAGTAGTTGATTTAAAACAGTCATGATTACAACAGCATGTTTAAGGCAGAAATTATACATGGTAAGTGGAATGCTATAAAAATTATACACAAATACTTTAAATTGTCTTAAATTGAAACAACTGCAGAGCAAAAAAAAGACAACAATTTTGACTGTCAAGTAATAACTTGAATTATACACTTATAAATAAAGAAGCAACTGACTGAAAAATGTTTTTGGGGAAAATAAACCCTCTTGCTGCACATCCTACGATTTCCACAGACAACATAGAAGTAGCAAAATTTGTGCAACTTGCTATTTCCACGGGGATGAATTTTTGCTGTTTATTTAACTGTGCAACCCACTCTTTCCCTGTTCAAGGTTTCCTTTCGGCTCTTCTGTGATGTTTAATTGTTTATTTAGATGTGGGTTAACAGATGGCATTAGTTGTCCACATTTCTGCCCAAATATAAAAGAATACATAATGTAGCATTTTGCATGCTTTTCAGAGCTGAAAGATGTCTGGCAGGAAGCGTTTCACAAGTGATATAATCTATATTCCTGACGATATTTCCAGCACTGGTAGTAGTTTTGACTCTTATTTCAAGTATATTGAAGATAATTATAGTGAAACTGATGAGAATTTCTCGGATTCCTCTGCAGATAGTGATGAATCTGAAAATTCAGTTTCTATTGAAATCGTTCGAAAGTGGTGCAAAATATTACATTATGCAAATATTTTCATTAGCATTTATGCTTTACCTTTGTATTTTATAAAATAAATCATAATTTAACCAATATTAATTTTCAAAATTTTCTTTTTATATCATTATTTTTTCAATTTCAGTATTCTGAAACCTTTTCTATGATCTAATTCTATATTGAAAAAAAAAAAAAAAAAAAAAAAAAAAAAAAAAAAACTCTTTCACAAAAAATTTTTGTATATTTTAACTCTAAAATATATGTAGATTTGAAATATGTAATAAAAATATGCAATTTTTGAGCCTATTTTGATAAAACAGTCTGCAGTGAGAGGGTTAAGACTTGTATCTAAAAACTTCCTCAAAATGGATCATTACTTCACTACTAGCTTTAACTACCATGAGTTTTTACTAGTTGGTTAGTTTATTGTGTTAAAACAAATCATGGTAAATTTTTTAATTATGGTGTAATCGCACCTTAGACCTGGAGGCAACGCTGTTATTTTGGCAAAGTCTAGAATTGAAAGCTAAGTTCGTAAATTCACAAAGTTCTTATCAGCGGGTGAATCAAGCACTGCAGTCTTAAAGTCTTAATATTCTGTCTCTAATTCATATTTTATTTAATTCATATTTTATCTAATTCTATTTACACAGTGCAGAATGGTGAAACTTCCGATTTCTTGGTCACGTGACGTGCACCAGCTAATGGGAAAGTTTTCACTTTCACAATTTACATAAATGGAGAAATAATCTTGAAAATTCATTTTTAGGATTGAAGTCACATGTTGCAGCTCGACAGAAAGGAATGTAAGTAAAGTTGCATAATGTGATTTGGCTAATGGCGCATACGTTCACGCTCAAACTTTGGTAGCAAAATTTTTACAAATACACTGAAACATTGAGAACACTTCCCATGATTTACCATGCAGTAATCCATGGATAACATCACCAGCAATATAAAATGTATAGAATTGCATAAAAAGCATCAGACCCAATAACTAACAATATGCATTTTAGTCAAATCATTTGCTTTTTTTAGTGGACAATGAGACTTCCAAAAGAAGCATATCTTACAGACTGTTTGGTTCCAACTGTGAAGAACAGTATGAGATACCCATATTTCTTCTAAAATACTCTTTTCAGCAAATGTGACATGAAGATAAGCAAGCAGGCCTCATATGCTTTGCCATAATTTAAAAATTAGTCCAATTCATATAAACTCTGAAGTATAGCTGTAAAACATGATGATCTCAGTTACTATTTTATGTGACTGTAGGTCTATAATCCCTAAAGGTTTTACTACAGGGTAAACATACCTTGAAAATTCTACAAAACTAATTTTAGTCCAATAATTTTTGTTGTGTTGTTAAAGATGGACAGAGCTTCATCTTGAACAAATCAGCAAATCTGGATCACAAAACACAAAACCACATTGCCCACATCATCCTAATTTTTATAGAACTTCAGAATGAAGTCAATTGGTATTCACCACCACCAGATCTTAATATTAGATAACTCCTGTGAAACATTAAGTAACAGAAATATCTCCTTTAGTAACACTCTAACAACTGTACAAGATTTTGCAAGAGGGATACAAAAAGATATAGGTACTTTTCGTTTTGCCGGCACAAACGATAAAGTCACTAATAATGGTACAACTGATGCCAAACGGAATATCTTCACTGGTAACCTTTTACGCCTCATTTTCAAAACAAGTCACAGCCATTTCTTACCAGATTGATTGTTTCTTTCATAACTGGCACATAATTACATAGAATATAGTCAAAAGTCGTTAATTCGGACACCCATAATCCGGAATGATCTATAATCTGGACCTCAAAGCTAAAAACTTTCTGCACATGCGGCGCGTTGACACATGCGCATAGGTGTTTACGCTGTGCGCGTAAGACCTTTACGACTGCGCATATGCATGTGCGTAAGTGCAGAATACGTTTTCGCATGCGCGTTTAATGTATAACGGATGGTATACGCTAAAATTATCTAATTATCTATTTCAGTTAATGTTGATGATTTCGTTGTTCCTTAATCTCCGAATTGGATCCGGCTTATTATTTTTTGCAGACTGTAAGAGCAATTTTATAAAAGTAAGCTTGAACTTTCAATTATGTCAAATAGAATTTCCGATGCTGGAGCTCCCAAAGGATCTACAAAACGAAAGTATAGGCCTCATTCAATTGAAACATTTAGTGATCGTTAGCCGTCATACGTCATCAGTTGCGATTGATTGTGCTGTTTTGGTATTCAATTCAAACGCAACGATCACTCTGAGCTCGCGATCGCTCGTTCTCATAGCGATCACTTGGAACCCATCATTCCTCGGCGAAAAACGATCGAATCAATATGGCGGCTGTGTTGTTTGTGCTTTCACGAGGACAGAAATCAAGTGTGCTAAAGAAAATGCTTTAGATCTGCTGAGTGAGCATCAACTTATATCAAAGTATAGGGTGTATAAGGATCCTAGCAAGGGCAGCCGACATCATCTGTGTTGTATCCAAATTAAGGTGCACTTGTTGCTAGTGGACATTGATTTAGCGTTGTGTTGTTTACATTTGTGTTGATGGATTGCTACCTAATTCCAGAGAAATATGCGTGGATGCACTGCATCAAATTATTCATATCGTTCCAGAAATAACTTTAGTATGTTCTATTTCCCGAGAAATGAAGAAAATACGAAGAAAATGGGTAATTAATTCTTGTCCATTGGAATAGATTCCGATCGCAAGACCGTGCGCTTTTGAAGTAAGTTCAGCTTCGTATGTTTTCATAATTGTTAAAAAAATAAGTGTTCATGTTTCAGCGAAATGTGTATTATCATTTAAGTATTGCTAATTAATGACAAACTGATTTATATGTACAAAATGAATATCAGAATGTGTATAGTCAATACACAGATACCGACGGCGATAAGTAGATGCTGATGTGATTTTCTTTATTGTTATTATCGCGAAAGGACAAAGTTTAAATAATTATATTATACATTTGATTTCAATTTTGTGCGTGATTATAACTATGAAGTGCACTTTTTATTTAAATTTTAATGCGGGATTCATGGTTGGTTTAAAATCGTATGTTATTTTTTGACCTTATTATATTGTCGCCAAATCTGTCAGTCGGCCTCCAATGTAAAAAAAAAAAAAAAAAAAAAAATGTAAACATTGGATAATATGATTGAAATTATGCATTATATAATGTTTCCCTTAAAGTAACATTAATATATCGTATTTATATTCATTTTGAAGAAGGTAAGCATCAATTTAGGTATTTAACGAATAATTTTGACTGTATTTATACATCGTGTAGACTGTATTTCCAGCTCTTTCATTTAACTGCGATTGCTGTCAATTTATTTCCAATGTATCAACATAAAATATGTTTTAAAATGCTGTACAAGCTTAGTCAGTGATTCTTAATTTAATTCAGACAATTTTTTATGTGTAATTAAAATAATTTAATAATATATGTTACTGTAATTTACTATTTTTTTTTTTTAATGTTTTAGAAATTTGCTAAATCAAGTTTATTTTTGTGTGACCTTGCATTAGAGGCGCCAATGATAAATCTGTTTTGGCTTTCACTGCTAAAGTTTTTAATGAAAAAAAGTATTACTTATGTAAAAGAATGAAAAAATGATATTTACTTCCTAATCAGTGCCTTATGATATTGCAATAACTTAAAAGGCTTCTTACTGTTTCTTAAGTTGCATAACGTTGTTTTCATAACTTCTTGTCATCTTTATATTTTATTCGTCTATGTTATCAAATAAATATAAAAGGTATGTTTCTAATTAAAAATTCTTCCTTTCATAGCAGTGTTATGTACCATGATGTGATATGTGTTGGCGTTTATTATATAGTTATGAACATTAGAGTCATTATAGAGTTTTATGTATTTATTAAATATATGTAATCTACATCATTGTGTATTATATAATTTTCCTTTTAGAATATATTACATTGTATTTTTTGAGTTGTTAATAGAACTAGGTACATTTTTCTTTTCTTTTGCTTTAAAAGGTCTTTTGAATCACTTTTTTTTTCAGTATGCACGTAAAACTTACTTGACCTATATTTTTCACATGTATATGATTTATGTGAATGGAATGTGTCTTTTAGGTTAGCTGTTTTCATAAAGGAATTAAAATAAAATAATACCTTTGAAGAATTTTCATAGATAAAACTTTGAAACAATAGCGCTGAAAAGCCAAAGATGGCACACCAAACGTGAACTGCAAACCCTAAAGAATGGTTACGAGGAGTCAACCTGCACATCTGGTAGCTCTTTCATTGGTTATTTCGAAACAAACGCAACTTCCGACCACGTGACAAACAGCATCGCGCATCAAGTAACCTCTGGCAACCCTACGAGTTCGACTGGTAGGGAAGTGTTTCAAATGAATACGAAAAATCACTCGTTTTCAAAAGTGATCGCTAATGCTGGATACAACGATCGCTGTTTGAGCGATCATCGCTGTTTCAATTGAATGAGGCCTTATGTTTCGATGTCAATCAAACAAAAAGTGGAATTGCTGCAAAAAATGGATAAAGGTATGAAGAAAGTGACAGAGAGGTGATTTGTTTCTCTAATCATTCCGAAATCTGTTTATCAATTTCACGCTGCTCTGCGGGCTGTTACGCCGCTGAGTTTAGTTTTTTAATATAAATAAAAGCCATTTTCCCTTAAAGTATTATCAATGAAAACATTCTTCCTCAGAGGCTGATAGTAATCAAAGCAACTTCTTTCTGTTCCCCAAGCAGAAATTAGCACTTCAGTGCTAATAATTGTGTTTTATGGATACTGAAGAAATCAAGAAAACTGTGACAACCAAACTTAACAGCATTTAATAAATGATTCCAAAAACAGTTTTGAACATTTGGTGGAAAAAAATTAAGCATTGAGAAAAAGGAAGATTACTTAGACATGACCATGTTTACTTCAGTGCCTTTAATTTTAGTTATCAAAAGCAACATCTAGGAAAACAATGTCAATGAAACTGCTGAGAACACTCATAACAGAAAATGCATATTTTCCTCAATGAAATAAACTACCGATTATGTAATCCTATTTAGAGTATTATGAGAACTGCAGAAACTTACCCTCTTTTGCATGTTTTTCCACTTTTACCTTTTATAACCCAATGACTATTTACATCATCAGCTATATCTACTGCAGTGACTGACTAGAAAGAAAAAAAATTTAAGAATACCTAGACAATGCAAAATTAATATCCAAACAGCTGAAAAGTTTTTAATATTCAAAATTTTTAAAGAAATTGGATAAGTATACACTTTTTATTAAATTATTTAAAATTTCATTACTTTTCACAATTCAGAATTAAATATGGCAGAAATTATGCCTTTAGAAGAAGTTTTTAAATCTAACTACAAATCTAGCATAACATGAGAAAATTAACCAAAAAAAAATTCTGAGCCAGAATTTCAGAACAGAATATTTTCACAAACAAATATAATGTATAACTTGCACAACAATTACTGAAAAATCAGAGATACAATAATATAATATTTTACATAATCAGATTTCATATGAAAATTTTGGGTTAATAAAGAATTGTTATTTACATACATATAGTGAACAGTAACTCAGACTTGTTACCTGGTGCATAGTAAGTCCAAAGACTTACTATGAATTATTATGCACTGGTGAAATAAATTATGAAAATTTGCATATTTTATTGAATTGCATGAAAAGAACCGAATTGAAGGGAAAATCAGCGCTTCTAGGCAAAAACGCAAATTTTGTACGGCAAATAGGTACGTGTACACAAGTGTTTAGGCGGAGTCAGCAGAAAAACAGGTTTTATAAGCGTGTGAAGGGTACGACGAATTGCGTTCGCTAGCACACCTCGGTGAATTTCTTGGTGCTATCTTGCAGCATTACATTAAATTCACATCAGAACAGTAAAAATGAGTAACCACCAATGTTTAGATGATGGAACGAGGTGGCGAATTGTGAGGAGGCTAGAGGCAGGCCAATTGCAAGTCCAGATCTGCAGAGAGATTAATTTAATGCCCAGCATTGTGTGTAACCCATGGAAATACATTTCAGGATACTACCGGATCCATCAAGAGAAAACCTGGGCAAGGTCATTCAAGAGCCACGACAGCCTGAGAAGATCGCTATTTGTCCATTTTAACGAGGTGTAACAGAAAGGCTACAGCTTCTCAGCTCTCTCGGGACCTGTATGCAAGGCTGTTTCCATAAAACTGAATGAGTTAGGTTTGTTTGCCAGAAGTGCGGCTGTTTGCATCTCACTCAGGTCTATAGACAGGAGAGTCCTATTAGCATGGTGCAGGCAGCATAGTGATTGGAGTATGGAGCAATGAGCGACCGTTCTGTTCACGACGAGTCCTGTTTTAGCCTAAACACTGATTCTCGCCATACTTTCATATGAAGAGAGCCAGAAACCCACTACCTACCCTCCAATGTCTGTGAAATCAACAATTATGGCGTTGGTGGTGTAATGTAGGTGGTTGTGATTGATTGGTTTGTGATTGGTTGTGTTGTTGTGATTGATTGGTTGTGATTGACGTTGGTGGTGTGATGGGCAGGCATCATATTGGATGGTCGCACATCTCTCCACTTCTTTGACAGAGGCTCTGTGACTGGTGTGATGTACAAGGATGAAATCTTCGCCTTTTCGGAGTTCACCTTTTCAGGGGTGCAGTGGCCCCTGAGTTCATCTTACAGGACGATAACACGAGGCCACACAGAACTCTTCTGGTCGATGAATTTCTCAAGAGTGAGGATATTTGCCGGATGGATTGGTCAGACAGGTCTCCAAACCTCAACCCTATAGAGCATGTCTTGGAGGACAATTGCAACTTTCAACACCCGTCCGAGAAAAATTATAATTTAAACACTCAGTCAAATTGATAATTTGACTGAGTGTGTTTAATGTGGAGAAACACAATTTTAATTTCAAAAGAATTAAATTCAGAAAAGTAATTTCAATTAACAAAGTACAGAATCATTTACAAAATTTTAATGAAAAAATTTTTAAAAATATACAATAAATTAAAAAGTAGTAACCTGCAATACCAAAGAGGCAAAACTGCTCAAGTAACTTATAAATAAAAATAAAAAAAAAATTAATAAAATAATAAAAATTAAAAATCTGAAAGCTTTCAGATCTTACATTAAGCCCAAAGGGGCATTTTTTTAACATTTTGTGTGTTACCATTATTTCTTAATTATCATGTTCTTTGGACTTAAACCATAAAATTCAAGTCAACAGCAATATGGCAAACTAATTTTAAAATGAGCATATTTTTAGAATTTCCGATTCAGCCTCGCGTGGTGAAGATAAAAATCTTTTTTTTTTTTTTTTCTACATACAGTATTGCCATTGCTGACTTTCAATTCATCGAGTTTCTTGATAAAAAATCCATTAAAGTGTTATAAAATATGCAATCAATAATAAAAAAAATTTCAAATTCCAAATTAGGGTTTCCAGATGTATTCGGTGGGAGATTACATTATTCAAAATTTGATGGCTTTGGATACCGTTGTTTTATAACAATATCAGAAACATACATACATTTAAGCAGATTCTTCATTATTTAATTTTAAATAACAACACATTGAAAAGTAATGAAAAGAAATGCCAAAAAAAAAAAAATGTTTAATGCAAAAAAAAATTTTTGGACCAAAAAAAAAGAGGAGAAAGTGAGTGAAAAAATAAATGAAATAAAACAGAAAATTGCATTAATTAATTTTTTAAAAAGATATAAGAAAATATGAGAGAAAATAACACAATTGAAACAAATTAAATAAAACAAAATAAATGATGAAAGAAAAAAAAGATGAAAATGAAATAAAAGAAATAAAAACTGAAACAAAAGAGGCAAAAAACTTGTATGTTTCTCTCAAACAGAAAACAATATTTCAGCCAAACACCTGGCAAAAATTCTGAATTTTGCCACAAGACCAAACCAAAAACGCTGCAAAAAAATTGACGCACAAAAAACGTAAAAATTTCAAAAAAAAAAAAAAATTAGATGCAAAAAAAATTATAACCCATATTTACAAAAATCCATGTTTTTTACATTTTAACTTCAAATCACGAATGGCACAATCTACGAAACAAATTATGAACTATAACTTGCATTTAATGGGAGAGTAGACTTTAAAGTAACCTTTGTATTATGCGAATGTTGTTGTTTATTCCTGGTGGAGTATTTATGGTGCCTGAGTGTTATTTAGGAACCTATTGGACGTAATGGGTGCATGATTCTGGGAAATTTTGAATGGGATGTTTGTAAGCGTTTTTTTGTGGTGGGGGTTGGTTTGATTCTTTAAGATGGTAGAATGGTTGAATGTAGTAAAATTAATTTGAAGTTTCTGTACGATGTAGAGCGAAAGGGGAAAAGAGCTTAATTGACTGGTGTGTAAATGAAGGTTTACTTATAGCCATATAAGTGTCCTGTATTAGGGGAAGTATATGCGTAGTCGAACGTATAAAAACCATTTTAGATGGGTTTGTAGGAGGAAGAAAGGTTCAGATGGTCAGTATGTGAAGCGCGTTCGATCAGAAAGAGTACCTAGTTTGAAAAAAGTCATTTGAGTATGATTGATATTGATTTTTTAGTGGCTCTGGGTGTACAAAGTGAACTGAAAATCACGGTAAGTGAATATTACTTTTGGTAGTGCTTAAATGATAAATGTTTTCCCTTTTTTATGTTATTTTATTGTTGGTTTAAATGTATTTTATTGAGATTATGTATTTTTTGTTTGTCTATATTGTAGAATTCGGTGCTCCTTTAACTTTTTAAGTGAAAATATATCGATGTGTACATGGACAAAGTAAAGGGAGTGTGTAATGCAAGTTTGTGCAGTTCTGGGATATACATTTTTTTTTTTTTTTTTTTGAAGTGAAAATAGGTCAACGTGTACATGGATAAAGAGTGTGAAATGCCATTTTTGGCTGATCTTTAGAATATGGTAACTGGTAGTTTGGCGACATTTTGGAGGCGATAAAGGTTACTACCTGGGACTTTGGTAATAATGTGAGCAGTACTCAGTTCGATTACGCATTTTTTGTGTGAGGGAAATGGAGATCATGGGATATGTTATGTGATATTAATGGACAAATTATGGTTCTTTAATCGGAAAAGGGGGGAAGTCGGGGGAAAAAAAAAAACCGGAAATTTTTGTATTTGGCTTTTCTGTGTTGTGTGGAAACAGTGTTCGTTAATTTTGGATCCATGGCCCTAATAAAGTGAATTCAAAATGGGTATTAGTGGGATTGAAGGTAGTAATAAGTGTTTCTTTAAGGTGTGCGAGATGAAGTAAAGATGTTTTATTAGTTATTATTTACCTGGTACCCTTGGTATGATTTTAAAGATCCTGAAAACAGAAATAAGAAAAAGTTTATCGGACACGTAATCAAGATTCTGAAGAAGAATTGGTAAGTTAGTATTTAATTATTGAGATATTATTTTATGCATTGTTCTAAAGTAAGGTGGAAGTGGAAGTAAAGTAATTTGGTAAATGTGCATGGAAATAATTTAAATATTTGACACTAAGTATTTGTAATCATTGTAATGTTTACGGTATGAATAGTTAGTGACGTTTGTAATTATAATAGATAATGTAGAGGTAAAAGTTTCTGGATATTTTATTTATTTTATACGGGGAAATGTTCATATTTGGAAAGGGTATATACTTTTTCGCGATCAGGTAATTTCATATATGTTCTTTTTACCAGGTTTGAAGATTCAGAAAATTGTTATTCATTTTCGTGAAATTTTTCTAATTTATGAGAAAAAAGCAGTGTACGTGGATATAGTGAAGAGTGTGCGCAATGCCATTTTTGTGCAATTCTGGGATGTTTTTTTAAATAAAATAAGTCGACCGTGTACATGGTTTAGTGATATTTTAAATAAATTGATAGTTGTTTTGTGAATTTATGTTTGTAGGAATTTGGTATACGTTTAAGTTGAAAAAGTAAAAGTGCATGGAAAAATAATTTAAATTTGACACTAAGTATTTGTAATGCTGGCGGTATGAATTCGTTGGTGATGTGTATAATATAATAATGATGATTTAAAGGTAAAGTTTTTGGATATTTTATTTATTTTATATGTGGAAATGTTCATATTGGGGAAAGTTATATACTCTTTCGCGATCAGGTAATTTCATATATGTTCTTTTTACCGGGTTTAAAGATGAGAAAATTGTCATGTTATTTTCGTTTGAAATTTTTCTAATTATGAGAAAAAAGCAGTGTACATGGATATGGTGAAGAGTGTGCGCAATGCACTTTTGTCTAATTCTGGGATGCTTTTTTAAAGTAAAAATAAGTCGACGTGTATTGTACATGGGTTATGTGTATGTGTTATTTTGAAAAAACACATACGTATGGTATTGTGCACTTTTTCCAATTTTGCAGTGAATATTTGTCATGATTAAGCAGTTTTGTTAGATTAAAATTTCTAGCATAAGTGTAATTCGGCTAGTAGATTGTTGGAAGAGAAGTGTCAGTAGATAAAAGAAAAGCAACATGTCTTTACTTCGTGAAGACAAAATGGCAGGGGGGAAAAAAACAGAGGGTTGCTGTAGGAGAGTTGGTCGCCAAATTTTCGCCAAAAAATCGCTAAGTTACCATAATGTAAAGATCAACCAAATTCTTTTAATAAATGTGTATTTACAAGCATATGTTTCAGTTTTCTGTAAACGTCTATAATATATATACAGAAATATTTGATTTTCAGTAGAATTGATAATCCTCCAGACAATATAGTGGTTAGGAAAGCCTACTACAATACTGAAGGGTGAGGGTTCAAATCCCGGGTAAGACATGGATGCTCGTAAATTTATAGTGTCAGTGTGGCATGTCGGCACTCTAAATATGTGGTGTATGTGGTGTAGTCCTCTTATGTGGATTGGTGGGTGGCGAGAAGGGTGGGAGACTCCCAGATCCCCCCGGGGTGCTCTCCGTCAAAATTGGGGGCAGAAAATAGAAGTTCAATCTCCCTTCGGAATAGGCTCTGGCAAACACTGTTCTATGTAATATGGACAAGACAACAACAACAGCAGAATTGGTAAATTTGAGTTGAATGTATAAATTTGAGTTGAATGTATAAGTTTGAGATGATGAAATGTTTAACTAAAATATGCAAAAACTTTTAAATTTTAACACAAAATGTATTTATGAAAATTATTCAGAAACCATAGACGTTAACAGTTTGCATAACTTCAAGAGCCAAATTTTAATATGACAGAGGGGTAGACAAATGTAAATAAAACTTGCTTTCACAACAGCACTTACTTCTAGATTATATAATAATTATTTAACTCACCTGCTGACCGCTTCCCGAGCCGTACTTCACATCATGAGAATGCAACCGAACTTTCATATTATTATTAAGTAGCTTTATTACAGAGCCGCACGTAACATACGGATAAGAAACTGGAAAACATAAAATTAAATAACTGATTAAAGATAAAATATGTATGAATTAAAAAGTCCACACATCAGTTGCACAGACACGAGGCATTTAAATTCAGTAAATGGTATTAGTTAAAACCCCACAGAATATTCACCTGAGATTACTAATGGAATGAAACAAAGTTCAAGCACTAGAACAGTGCAAGATATAATTAACTTTTCTAAATACATTTTACAGTAATATAGTAAACAAACAAATACAGAACATGAAACTTAAATTTACAATAACTTCATATTCACTAGCAGACCAACTCGTAAACAGTGATTCACCATAAGGAACTATTGCCAAAATATATATAATAATTCCTGCCTTAAATTGCTAACCGACCGCTTGCTGATTCGCCCAACTATTATTGCATATATCCGAGCACCCAATTTTAGCCAAAATGCCAATTTTCTTTTATTTATTCATCGGATAGATTACTTACTTAAATTTCTGCTTTTGCTTCTACGGAAACAGAAATATTAAGGATGTCATAAAACACGAAAACCAAAATTAAGCATTTAAATCGCCGTAAGTCTGCATTTAAAGAACATGTAGTGGCCCAGTTAGTGCATGAGAAATAATTATTTTTTTATTTCATATATTTGTTCATGTGTTTAATTATTTTATAAAATTAACTTTAAATTTGTTAATATTCATATTTATATTTTTTATGCTGAATGGCAATAAGTAGTTATATTATATTTAATTTCTTTATATGAATGGCAACTAGTTCTAGTTCGATCATGATTGCTAGGTTTTGGTTTCAAAACGTGCTCGTAGCGTCGCTTTCGATAGTGGAAAATAAATGCAATAATTTAGCTATTGTTATAATTCATGCTTACTAGTCATAAATTAATTTTAAATTAGTAGCCAAGGCTACATCGTGGTGACCCTGATAATTTTCGAAATGTCACAAATGACTCTTCTGAAAACGCTATGAAAGATACGATTGCAGTCACGGAGCTTCATAAGGTGAGTGTAAAAATACTCCTTTTGGATGATAAACCGGAAATATGGTTTTTAAGTTGAAGCTCAGTTCAAAATTAGTAATATCGTTCAGAAGAAACGAAATTAATTATTAGTTTCACAGTGAACCTCAGTCGTCGAAAATATGGGAATTGTAACGAACGAGAGTGCCACAAATATTCGGATGATGCTAAAAATTAGGTTTACATTTATTCAAAGAAAGTGACATGTTCGGATTCAACTTTGATTATGGTATCGATTGGAGACATGAAACCAAGCAACTTTTGCAGAAGTTGAGATCAGTTGTACTACAGATGTGTCTGAAAATCTAATCAAAACTTTATGGCTGGAGAGCTACTGATCCATAAAAAATATATTATTAGTTAGTGAGAGATGTACCAAGTTAGCGTCTATGGCAGATAAAATTAGTGATATGAAACAGAAACCAGAAGTATTTAGTGCTATTGTCACTTCCGTTCCTGTAAGTAATTTGTTGCAAAGAATTACATCTCTTGAACAAAAAATTGATCAAACAACCATTCGCTCAAGACGCAGGGACTCGAATTTATGTAATTCACGTTCACGATCTCGTAAACGATATGACCCTGCTGCCAAATTTTGTTATCATCATTTTCGATTTGGAGCAAAATGTATTCCAGAGAAATGCTGGCCTACGTGTGCTTGGGTAAACAATGATTTACAAAACCAGGAAAACTCGAATCTGCAGTAGGTTCAGCAACAAACGCTTCTGCAGAAAATATGAAGGATTGTCGCAAATTTCGTTTATTCGTTCGTGACCGAAGATCAGATTTGCACTTTCTTATTGATAGCAGAGCTGACGTAAGGATAATTCCTGCTACTTCAGAGAATAAATGTAAAACTGAATACAAACTGTACGCAGCTAATGACACAGATATTTCCACTTGTGGCATAAAAACGCTAACTCTTGATTTGGGATTACTTCATGATTTTCATTTTCCATTCATAATTGCTGATGTCCCAACATGCATTTTAGGAGCTGACTTTCTTCACAAGTATAACTTGCTTATCGATATAAATAAGAAAAAATAATTGATGGAGTAACACAACTTAGCGTCCAGTGTGATGTCGCTACTATTTCAAGTGATAACTCAGTAACCACATTAAATAAATCCATAAAAATTTTCGATTTAGTGTCGAAATATCTCGAAATTTCTAAACCTAATTAATTCCTACACAAAACTAAAACTAATTCCTACACAAATTAAACATGGTATTACACATTTTATTACGACCGATAGTCAACCTTTTTATTCAAAAGGACGACAGCTCGATCCAAAATGCTTAACTATAGCTAATGAGAAATTTAATTTTGTACTTGACAATGGAATTAATTCGTCGATGAAACTCCCAGTGGTCAAGCCCCTTGCACCCAACGACTTCATATAACAGTATATATCTCGTTGCTTGCACCTTGTTGCGAAAAAAAACAGTTCATATCGTCCTTGCGGGGACTACAGACGATACCTGATCGACACCCAATTCCTCGCATTGAAGATTTTCATCATGTTTTAAGAGGTACAAATATTTTATCTAAAATTGATTTATTCAAAGCTTATTTTCAAATTCCCATTGCAGAAGAAGACAAATGTAAAACGGCTATCATCACTCCTTTCGGTTTATAGAATTTAATGTAATGAGTTTCGGTTTAAAAAATGCTCCTGCAACGTTCCAACAATTTATTCACGAAGTCTTTAGAGGATTAGAATTCGTTTTTCCCTATTTAGACTATATACTCATTGCATCCAGTACCTATGAAGAACACGAAAATCACCTTAAATTAGTTTTCGAAAGATTAAATACATTTGGGTTAAGAATTAAGGTTTCAAAATCTGTATTTGCTGTTTGAGATATCGAGTTTCTAGGCTACCTAATCACACCTAAGGTTTCAGTTCCTGTCCTTTGCCAGAAAGAGTTCAAGCTATGACTAAGTACAAACGACCAGAAACAATTCATGAACTTAAATTTTTCTTTGAGTACTTAACTTTTATCATCGTTTCATAAAAGATGCAGTGAAGAATCAAGCATTGTTACATGCATATCTTAAGGGGGCTAAAAAAGGGGACAAACCTAAAATCGAATGGACTGAAGAAGCTGAAAAACAGTTTGAAAAGTGCAATAATGACCTGGTGAACACGGCACTGTGTCTTTTCCCCAATTCTGAATTACCTCTGGCGTTATTTACAGATGCTTCAGATACGGCGATTGGCTCAGTGTTGCAACAATATGAAAACTCCTCGTGGAAGCCAATAGCATTTTTTCTAAAAAATTAAGTGATACTCAGCAAACATATAGCACCTATGATAGAGAACTATTAAGCATATATCTTTTCGGTTAGACACTTTAAGCATTATCTAGAAGGAAGAGATTTACAATTTATACAGATCACAAGCCCTTAATATTCGTCTTTCGTCAAAACTTGACAAAGCAGCATAGACAGGCTCGCCAACTTCAATACATCTCCCAGTTTTCGACTGATATCAAATATGTAAAAGGTGAGAATAATATTGTGGTGGATACATTATCTAGAGTTAATGAAATTTCAATCGATAGATTATGATAAAATAGGATGAACAAACTGAAGATGAAGAACTGAAGAGTTTGCAAACCACTACTTCCTTGAATTTCAAGCAATGTTCTCTACCTTCGGGGAAATATTTGTGGTGTGATACATCAACTAAACTATTCGGCCGTATATTCCTCAGGCTTTCAGAAAACACGTCTTTCAACTAATTCATGGTTTATCACATCCAGGAATAAAATGACTATGAAATTAATGACATAAAAATTCATTGGCCTAACAATAAAAAAGATGTACAGTGTGGACAAGAACCTGCATTCCTTGCCAAAAAAGCTAAAATCAGTCGGCATACCAAAACAAAATTAGGTGAGTTTGAAGTACCACCAGGAAGATTTCTGTTATCCATATCGACTCATAGGGCCACTTCAACCATCTAAAGGGAATATTTATTGTCTTACTTGCATAGATAGATTTTCGAATTGGATGGAAGCAATTCCTTTAGAAAATATTTCCGCTGAGAACGTCGCAAGAGCCTTTTATAGCAACTGGATTGCGCGTTTCGGAACGCCAAGTAGTAAATTAGTGATCGTGGATCCCCCAATTTAAAAGTGATACATTACGAGCTTTGTCCAAAATCTGTGGCATCAATTTACAAACACACTACTGCCTACCACCCCTCGTGTAATGGCAAAGTTGAGCGCCTTCATCGAACATTAAAAAAACAGCATTAAAAGCCCACAAACAACATATCTTGGACGGACACGTTACCCAACAGTACTTTTGGGTTTGCGTACTGCTATTCAAGAAGATACCAATCATTCTATTGCACAAGGAGGAGTTATGGCCAGAGTCTCAGACTTCCTGGAGAGTTTTTCAGCGAACCAAGTATCCAGACAGCATCGGAGACTTTTGCTAATAAACTCCAGAAACAGATGGAAGTTGTTGGACCGAGACTAATTCGTAAAAATTCATCTGAACAGATATTTGTCCATAAAGACTTAAAAACTTTCTCATGTGTTTCAGCGAATAGATCGGGTAAAAAAAAACCTTTGGAACCTCCTTATGAAGGACCATTTCCGTATTGATCGCAAGGACAAATATTTACTATTAGCATAAAAGGAAAAACATGTTAATGTATCCCTGGATCGCTTGAAACCAGCATATATTTTAGCTAAGGAAAATTCTCAGTTGATACAACCTGACTACACTAATTTGCAGAGACCGGACTCAAATTCGGATGTGAATCAAAAAACTTCTCGCACAGGCAGAACTATACGTTTACCTGTTAGATTCAAGGACTGACTAAATTATTTTGATAGTCGTTAACACTGCAATACTAGTACTACCTATTTCTCCATCTTCGTAACGTAACTTAGTTACTGGGGGGGGAGTAGTAGTGTAGGGCCAGTTAGTGCATGAGAAATAATTATTTTTTTATTTCATATATATTGTTCATGGTTTAATTATTTTATAAAATTAACTTTAATATTTTGTTAATATTCATATTTATATTTCTTTTATGCTGAATGGCAATAAGTAGTTCATATTTATATTTAAATTTCTTTATGCTGAATGGCAACTAGTTCTAGTTCTGATTCATGATTGCTAGGTTTTGGTTTCAAAACGTGATCGTAGCGTCGCATTTTCGATAGCTGGAAAATAAAATGCAATAATTTAGCTATTTGTTTATAATTCATGCTGTTACTAGTCATAAATTAATTTTAAACATTAGTAGCCAAGGCTACAAACATAAACAGTCT